ATAGTGGATGGCTGTAAGCTTTTCCTAAGGGACAGGCAAGGAAGGAGGATTGGTGGTATGGCTCTCCATGTCAGAAAGTGTTTTGAGCTCAGGGCTCAAAATTATAATTAAAATGAATATTAGGTGAGTCGCTGTGAATAAGGATTGGGGGGAGATCAACAGGGCTGACATCCTGGTAGGGGTCTGTGGGTCTGTTACAGACCACCTAACCAGGATGAAGGGATGAACAAGGCACTCTACAAGCAGCTAGCAGAAGTGCAATTACAGTCCCTTGTTCTCATGGGAATCTTCAATTTCCCTGATATGTACTGGAAATATAACACAGTGCAAAAGCAGCACCCTACAAGGGTTCTAGAGTGTGTAGAAGATAACCTCCTGACATAGCTGGTAAGAGAGCCTATTGTCCTTCTAGACCTCCTGTTCACAAACAAGTGGACTGATGAGAAATGTGGAGCTCAGGAGCTGTCTTAGATGGAGTGACCACAAAACGATAAGAGTTCGTTGTTCTTGGTGAAGTCAGGAGGGTGGCCAGCAAAACTGCTACTTTGGATTTCCAGAGAGCGGACTTTGAACCATTTGGGACACAGGTAGGCAAGGTCTCTTGGAAGTCAGTACTGAAGGGTAAAGAGGCGTCCAGGAAGACTGGTCAGTGCTTCAAGAAGGAAGTCTTAGAGATACTGGAGCAGGCTGTCCTCCTGTGTGGTAAGTGAAATGGAGGGGAAGAAGGGACAAGGAGCTTGGGAAAAGTCCAAAGAAATTCTAAGGGTATGCAGGGAGAAATTCAGAAAGGCAGAAGCCAAGCTTGAACCTGCCCACTGAAGTAAATGAGAAGAAAAACTTTTTTACAAACATATTGACAAAAAGGGTAGGGCTAAGGTGGATGCATCTCTGTCCTTTTTTGGATGAGGTGGGGAACGTGACCAGTGAGAATGAGGATCTCAATGCCTTCTTTACATCTCTCCTTCAAAGTCAGACCAGTTATCTTTGGCGTATTCTGCTCCTGACCTGGAAGTCTCAGATGGGGAACAGAAAAACCACCCATTATTCAGGTGGAAACAGAGACCTATTACTCCACCTGGACCGTTACAAGTCCAAGGGGTCAGATAGGGTTCACCTTAGAGTACTGAGCTGGCAGAGGTGCTTTCCACTGCTTGCCAACGTTCCTGGTCAACTGGAGAGGTGCCAGAGGATTGGAAGCTTGCCAGCGTGACTTTCATATACAGGAAGGTTCGTAAGGAAGATCCACGGAACTACGGACCTGTTAGTCTGAAAAAGCAGGTCCTGCTTGACCGACCTGATCTCCATCCCACGTGTGGATGAGGGAAATTCACTGTTGACATAGTCTACCTAGACATTAGCAAAGCATTTGACAGTGTCTCACACAGTATCCTCCTGGGGAAGCTGGCAGTTCATCATCTGGACAGGCGCTCTTTGCTGGGTAAAGAACTGACCAGAAGACCAGCCCCAGAGAATGATGGTGAATGGAGGTAAATCCAGCTGGCGAACAGTCCTGAGCAGTGTTCCCTGGGAGTTGGTTGGGGCCCATTCTGTTTAATATCTTTATTGATGACCTGGACGAGGAAGATGAGTGCACCCTCAGCAAGTTTGCAGATGACACCAAGTTGTGAGGAAGAGTCTGTCTGTGTGGGGGTAGGAAAGTCCTTCAGAGGGATCTGGACAGGCTGGATCTCTTGTGTTGAAGCCAGTGGAATGAAGTTCAACAAGACTAAGTGCCAAGTCCTGCACTTTGGTCAAAGCAACTCCAGGCAGCACTGCAGGCTTGGGGCAGAGTGGCTGAAGGACTATCGAGGAAATGGACCTGCAGGTGTTAGTCAACGCTCAGCTAAATGTGAGCCAGCAGTGTGGCCAGGTGGCAAAGAAGACCAATGGCAACCTGGTTTGTATCAGAAATAGTGTTGCCAGCAGGATCAAGGAAATGTTTGTCTCCCTGTACTCGGTCCTTGTGAGGCTGCACCTTGGGTGGTGTTAACTTCTGGGTCCCCCTCTGCAAGAAAGACATAGAGGACCTGGAGCGTCTTCAGACAAGGGCAGTGAAGCTGATGAGGGGTCTGGAGCACAAGCCTTTAGAGGTGTGACTGAGGGAATTAGGATCATTCAATTTTGAGAAGAGGAGGTTCAGGGAAGACCTTACTGCTCTCTACCACTATCTGAAAGGAGATGTGGTGAGGTGAAGGTTGGCTGCTTCTTCTGCGTAGCTAGTGATAGGACTAGAGGGAATGGCTTCAAGTAGTGCCGAAGGAGGTTCAGATGGATATTAGGAAAAACTTCTCTGAACGAGTGGTCAGGTGTTGGAATGGCTGCCCAGGTAGGTGCTTGAGTCACTGCTCCTGGAGGTGTTCAAGAAATGTTTAGATGTCATACAAAGGGACGTGGTTTAGTGGGGAAGTGTTGGTGGTAGATGGGGATGGTTGGACTAGAGCTGTGCACAGGCATGGCAGTTGATATCAGTCTGCATCAGCTTTTCTTTACTGGTATTTCCTCCCAATGCTTTTCCCCTATTCCATTGTGGGTCCTTTCCTCAGGTTGCAGTACAGCAGGAGTTATCTGGCAGTTCTGGTAGAGGACACACTTCACAGCAGAGAGGATTCCATTCATATTGTGTATTGCTGCATATTGTATCTTCACATTTATGTTCAGCTGAAGTGCTAGGGCAAGAAAACGTCAGCTAGTTATGTTGACTAGTTAAGAAGTTGCCTTTTTTTTTTTTTTTTTAACTACTGCTACTTTGTGTGTAAGGAATGTTTTTATCAATAATAAAGCCTTCAAGATGAAGAGACCTGTGGGAGGGTGGGGATGGGGGGGCTTATGAAGTGAAAATTGCCAAGTAGGAAAATATTCTTGTTGACATGAGTAAGACTATTTATGTAAGGAAGGTATCTGGTCAAGGTCCCTTTTTTCATCCAAAGTAATAAGCAAAGGAGTAAGCCATAAAAAAGTGTGCAGACTGGAGAGATAAGTGATAAGGGAGGCAGTGGTAAGAACTGAACAAGGGCATGTGAAAGTGAGAATGTTTATTCCCGTGAAGTTTCGGGACCATGTCAGTTTGAAAAGTAGGGGAAAAGGGGAAGCTGGGAATGAAAATAAATAGAGGCACAGACCTAAGGCAAACATGGAGACAATAAAAAGAAACTTGCCTTTAACTGTGCTGTTTGATGGGCTGTTGAGAAACCATTGATGCCCCTTACAGACAGGTTGACCTGGACCTCACCTCTGATAACTGGTGGTCCCAGGCACTGGTCTGGAAAGGGGGCTGAGAAAGTAAGAGAGGAGGAGCAAAGTGGGTGATGGACGGAAAGGGGCAAGAAGGGAGTTGGCTGTGTAAAATGTGTCAGTATGCTTGTCTGACAGTCCTGTGCCTGTTCACCAAAGTCTGTCCTATCTTCTTGCATTGTATGATATCTTTTCTTAGCAGTCTGCATACTCTCACTCTTTAATCCCAAGAGTGTGTGTGCTGTAAGGCAGAAGTGCTTGCTGCTGGTGAGATGAATGGAGGTGTGTGTGAGAGAGTGAAGGAGGGTCTCAGTGTCATTAGCTGAAGAGGCTGTAGCTCTCTGGACCTAGTGAAAATGCTGCAGACAAACAGATCCCAGTGTGAGTGGGCTTGGGTGCTAGTGAGTAGAGTGAGGGCTGGAGTCTGAGCTTCCAGCCTGTGGTGTGGGAACAGTGCGAAACTAGAGGGAACTGGGGTGAGTGAGCTGGGTGTGGGGTTAGGGGTGAGCATCTATATCACCTCCAAACCTGGTGAGAGTCTGTGTGTTTGCTAGTAAAACTTTTAAGTGGGAGCAGGGCACTGTGGGTAGGCAAGGGGTGTGGGGTTCTAGTAGGGGGCTGGGTGGGCAGAGGTGCTGTGCTGTGCTGGGGAGACATTGCACATGGGCCTGCAGCAGGGGCTGATGATTCTCCTGGCCTCAGGGCAGGAAGGGGTGGACTGTGCCCTGTGGGTGTGGGTCCTGCTGAGGAAGTGCCTTGCCTGAGGCAGTCTGTATGACTGGCTGTCTCAGTGCCTGTGGGTTAGCTGCTCAACCTCATTGCTCATTGAACCTGTGCAAAATGGCCTCAGCCCAGGCAAAAACCCCAGCACCAGGCTGGTTTTCAGCAGGGAGGCAGGAGGGAGTCCATGACCAGAGCTGTGGAAGAAGCAACTGGTGGAAGAAGCAACTACTCATAGCATACTGTAACAAATTACACTTATCAAATTTAAGTAGAGATGTCTTAAGTATTTCCAGTTTTGGCAAAGTTAATAATGCACCTTCAAATTTTACCTGATGTACCCCTCATGATTTGGATTTAAATGAACTCTTTATCGAGTAGTTTTAAGTTCAGTGGGGTAGGTGACTTTGAAAGGAAAACTCCTTGTTCTTGATGTTACAGTTGAATACAAAACGCCTTTGTAAACAAAATGAGCTATCACTCCATGCTACTACTCATCTGTACATCCCTGGAACCATATTTTTGTGTGTCAGTATCTGAGTGGAAACATAAGGTAGACTTAAAAAACAAACCAATTGTCTATATTCCATTTCAGATTGAGAAAATACTATCATACTGAGTTATAAATTTTACATAAAGTAATAGATTACTGTAGTTCTAGTTGAAAACGTGACTATGTTTAACTGGTATCCAGAAAAAATGTGTTGATACCTGTTATCAGAGTTTGCAGGTGTTCTGTAGCGGGCACTAGCAAATGTTTTCTCCTAGAGCAGTTATTTACATAGGTTCTTCCTTGTTCTTTCTGTTTTCTCAGTGCTTACTTAGTTTCTTGTGGTCAGTTTTTGTGAAGGGATTTCATGATGCATTTTTCTTCTTGAGTTTAAAATTTGTATTTTATTTTCATATGAAGACCTTTGCTGTTCAGAACACAAGGAGGATCTGTTTCTCTGTGTTCATGGATCAAGAATTCCTCTGTTGTAATACGTTTTTCTTGCTAGATTGCTTTAAATCAAAGGACTTGGCTAATAATATTTTTTCTTCATCAACAGCCGATTTATTTTGCACATTCCAAGTGAAGAGAGAGACAATGCAATCAGAGTGTGTTTTCAGATTGAACTTGCCCATTGGTTTTACTTGGATTTCTACATGCAAAACACACCAGGATTACCTCAGTGTGGGATAAGGGACTTTGCAAAAGCTGATATCCTTTTTATTGTTGTCATTGTTTTCTGTCTCACTGCAAACTGAATCTTAACAAAGCGTTGTGCCTGCAGCTGGAAAGTGAGAGACAATTTATATGTTAATGATTAAAAGTAGTATTTCTAGGTATGTGATATTTATCCTTTGGTTCCATGATTTTGTGGCATCCACAAAACAGAATTTTCCTTCAGCTGTTCAGCTGAAGGCCTATGGAAAACAGGTAATTTCTAATCTTTGAGGATATTTCCTTTCAGCTGCAGGCAGACAAGAGCACTCTGTGATGCTTTTTCTCCTTTGTTTAATCTCTTTCTAGTAAAATGCTATAGTAAAATGTTAATCTAGCTGAAGACAGTGAGTTTTTAGATGCTTCTAGAAGCTGTTCTATTGGAATGAGAATGTATGAATTTTTTCTAAAGTTACTGTGTTTGACTTCTGCATTTTTTCATTTCCTGGTGGAACATAGACAATCTATTCATCACTGGAGAAAAACCCATGGAGAAAATTTCATGTCAGCACCCAAAAATAGGTTATAAGTTAAGCAGTTTCCATCCGTTTTTGATGTGGCTTTGAGAGCTTCTAATTTTCATTGTAATATCTGTGGTTTCACCACCCAAAATATTCCTTGTTAGTTTGATGGGAGATTTATTATTAAATGCTTTAACATCTGTTTTAACAGTACACATTATAGATGTGGTCTTCTTTTTTTGCTCGATGTTATGCAGCAAATTTTTATGAAGTTTTTTTTTTTTTAATTTTCAGACCAATTGTAGGTAGTGCGGGAATAATAAAATACATACTGTTCGTTCACTACATCTTTCCTTCTTTGGCATTTGTCAGAAATATTAATTTTGTTGCCGTGTCTTATTTTTAAGTACACTGCTATTTAATGTTTGGTTATTTATTACTGGCAGTATAATTTTATAGATAATTTTCTTTGAATATTTGTGTGTTTACTTTCAACGGTTTTGGTTTACAGAGCTTGTTCATGTTTTTCCCGCTTGGTGAATCTTGATAGTGCATTGGAATTTAGATTTCTGGAACATGATGCCATTACAAATAATTTTTTTTTTTTGTTTTTTCCTCTTATCTATGTGTTTAAGTATGATTTCTGTGCAGTAGTCCTACGAATGATTGTGGGAAAATTTCTTCTCCAAGCAAGAGATAAAATAAAGTGGTCTTGCCTGTCCCATTTGTTTCAAAACATTAAAATGTTTAAAATAATAATATATATTTAAACTAATCATCTGAAGTACATTTTCTGCAAGATTAGGGAGTTCTTTCAAACAAGCACTTTTGCACCATCTTTTTTTATCTTTTAATTGGCTTGCGTTAGAATTTGCAAATTCCTTAATGCTTTCTAATCTTTAGAATTTGGTAATGAATTATCCAAAATACCTATAACTTCCAAGAATTTGTTTTGAAAGCACTTGGAGGAGGAAGTATGGTTATTATAAGTATTGAGTTGACTATCTTGTCTGTCTGTATGTGACTGGAAACTGTATGCTTAAGATTAGCTTCCTTAATGCGCTGCACTCTTCAATCACTGCCCTTTTTTACTGCCTCAAGGTGAAGATGTGCAAAAGGTTTTAGATGAGTGGAAGGAATATAAAATGGGAGTGCCAACTTACGGTGCAATTATTCTCGATGAGACACTTGAAAATGTAAGTATGGAAATAGTTGTGAAGAACTAGAGGGGAGGAGTATGGGCATGTGCTGGTACAGTAATCTTTTCGTAGTTTACATTTATCATCTGGAAAAAAACACTTTGGATTCGCAAGAACTTGACGTATGTGACATTGTTGAATGCATATGGAGATCGAATATGGGAATAAAATATTGGAGACAGTAAATACTCTTCTACTTGCTTTCCTATTCAGTTTTGCTTTTTTAATTTCAAGATGCTATTAAATGAAAAACCAGAAAAACCAAGGTTCTTGCTAGAACACAGAGACTCTGTTGGGTGCCTCTCTCCTGTCTGGGGCCCCTTTTTTTGCAAGGAAGCAGGAGACAGTGAAGGGAAGAGATTTAATATAAATTAAATCATGTTAGAGTAGTTGGTTATTTGCCTGTTGTTCACTGTGTTTTGCAGGTTCTTTTGGTTCAGGGCTATTTAGCAAAATCTGGTTGGGGATTTCCTAAAGGAAAAGTAAATAAAGAAGAGGCTCCTCATGATTGTGCTGCTAGAGAGGTAACTTTTGTTTGTTTCCCTCAAATTGATTTTTTTTCTTTTGACTTAAATGATATTTTAATAAGAGCAAAGATGTGTGTATATGTGTTAGATGAGAGGACAATTTACTTTGCTGTTTCTTCATTGGAATTGGATAATTTTTTTATTCTTATTGCAGTGTTCTGCTGTAGCATGCAGCTCTTTGAGTTACAGAGTGGTAACTGAGGGTGTGGTTATGCAGTTTAAAATAATGTTTGATGTTTTTCACTGTTGTATAGTAACACGCAGAATGAAATGGATTCTGTGTTGAAAGATCTGTTCTGAATAACTTTGACCTTTAAATACTACTTTATGTTTAACAAATGTAATAAATATTAATATTATGAGGCTCCATGCATTTTGGAATATTGAATCAAAGAGCCAACAAAATGTAAAATGATAAAAGAATTGAAGTTTAGCTTATATGTAAACTTGGCTCTGTGAAGAGGCCGCATTGAGTTGGGTGTTGTAAGTCACCGTGTGCAAATAGTGAAGAACTTTTATTCAGTGATAAAGGAGCAAGCATCAGTATCTGTGGCAAGTAAAGACTAAAGAAAACAGTCCATGAGGTCTTCTGTTGCGGAAGACCTTGCAGAACTGCGTGTTAAAAACAGTGAAAGAACAGTATTGGTATAAACTCAGTGTTCCTCTAATATAACACAGCTGGAATTTTTGAAAGGGAAGACAGAGATGAGGGGAAGCAGCAAGGTGCTTTCGTTTTCCTCATGAATCGGTGTCTGAGAAGTTGTGGACTTTTTCTTAAATGTACTTCTTTAAGATGCCTGAATGAAAAATTGTCTCATTCCCTGACAGTGCTTTCAGTACCACTATGATACTTAGTATTGACCTGAAAAAGGAAAATAAGGTGTTAGGTTTTAACAGTGCAATCCCACGCAATAGGTGCAAATGAAAAGTACTTTTATATTAGCACTTCTGGTCTTTGAATGTAGACTGTTTTGATACAGTACTGGCTAGCTTGAGGAAAAGGGGATTGCCCCACCTACTGCCATGGTCCACTGTAAGTAAGTGGTTGAAATTTTACCAGGCAAATGCTTCTGGGGTTGGGCTGAGTGATTACAACCCAAAGGAAAGGAGAGCAGAAAAAAAACATGGACAACAAAACAATGGGCACAGGCATTAAAGTGGGGACAGTTTTACTAGGAAAAATATGATAATCGTGTTTTTAGTTTGGAGAATGTATTATATATATTACATCAGTGCACAGCTGTTGCTTGTTTCTGTGAAGGCGGATAATCGCTGTGGATAAGCAGGCAAAGTCTTGAAAACTTGTGTTGCCAGACATTGTGATGTCCATAAAATCTGTGCATAAATCTTTTTCCTGCTTTTCCTAGAGTCAGCACGCAGCTAAAACAGTGAACTGCACCTGTATGTGGTCTATTTGAGGGATCTTCACTGATTCCTTAGACAGCTCAGTAGTGTTTCAGAAACTGATGAAAGATTAAATGATTGACTATCTTTACAGAATAAGTTTCTGTGATTAATTTATTTAACTTGTCTGGACGAATCATTTAACATATATTAACATATATATATATATATATATATATAACACATATATATATATCTATATGTTAAATATATATATATTTAATATATATAGGGTAGAAGGTTCATGAATTGGAAGGACCATTGGATGTGAGAAAAAATTGAGCTGCGAATGAAGCTTGCTGGAATTTGAAGACTTTTTACACTCAGAGTAGTGGGTGCTGTGAATAAGACTTGAATGCATGAAGCAGCTGGAGCCATCCTATCCATAACAATAAATCGCTATGTGGAAGTGTAGTAGGGTTATTGCTACTTGTTATTGCTGATCTGTTTGTCTAAGGGAAATGTAAACCACAGAAGATCTTAACACATTTTCATTATTGAGCATATACCTGTGTATCAAGTGGTTCTCCCCTCCTCAGTGGCCCGCTCTCATGAATAGGTCCTGAAGAGTAGTTGTCTTGCATTGTGATGGCAGGTTCTAAATAAATTTGAATATGCACCCTGATCTAATTTATGTGCTTCTCAGGTGTTTGAGGAAACTGGATTTGACATAAAAGATTATATCTGTAAAGAAGAATACATTGAGCTGCGAATTAACGACCAGCTAGCACGACTGTACATCATTCCAGGAGTTCCCAAGAACACAAAATTCAATCCCAAAACTAGAAGGGAAATTCGGGTATGTGTTAACTTTTTTAGTTCTGCAGGTACCTTGTGGTACCTACCATTTTTTAAATTCACAATCTGTAAAATAATAAACCTACCATACATGATGGATACTTTAAATACTAGTAAAATAGTTTTGTGAGTCTTGCTTGCTTGCTGCAACTTTAATGCTAAGTTTGATTCTTGACAGTCTATAACGTCTTTACTTGTCATGAAGTGCATGCAGTCAAACTGGAGTTCTTACCTTCTTTCTTAAGTAGTATATGTGTTAATCATTCCATTTTATTCCAACTTGTGGGTGTATATGTAACTATATTCTTCTAAGGGCGTAGTTATTAATTGATATACAAAACCTTACATGTTGAAAGGGAAAGCTGTGGCTTGTCTTCTCCCTTTCATTGTTAATACTGTCCAGACTTAGAGAAAAATGCATTTTAAGAAGGTGGTTGGGAAGGGGAAAGAACATCAGGAACTGCTGTTTTTGGTGATCTGTCCAGGCGTTTAAAAGATCCCGTGGAGAGAAGATACAAAGGCTCAGGTAGTAGACTCTAGTAGGCTTGGATATTTTGTTCCTGTTGGTAATGCTCACCATCTTCTATATTTTAATATCTTTCTTGTATTACAACTTACTTTAAAACAGCTATCACCATGTTTCCATGAAGATGGTACTGCTGAACAGGGCGTCTGGCTTTCTAAACAGGAAAATGAACTAATAGTTGATGGCACAGAAATCTCTTTGTTATTTCTTGCACTAGAGATCTGTTTTTCAAAAGCGATTCAACACTGAACTTCAGTAGTACCACTTCAGTTGCAAGTAAAAGAGGATGAATAGCAAGGCTCTTTTCAGTGAAGAGTAAATACCTCTCATGCTATTTTTTCTTCACTCCCACACAGATGTTCACTGCTCTGTATAGTTATTATAGTAATAGGTTCTTGTCTTACTGGTGTAGTATGTTCTTCATTTGATCTAATGAAGGTCCACACATGCCATTTCAGTATTACTTGCAGAGTTATACTGGAGAACCCTTTCCGTTTATAACTTTCCATAATATTCCTCTTAACCAGACCTGGGATTTTGCAGCTAAATTCTTCCATGGAAATGTTCATGTAGGGTCTTATATACTATGCATATTCAAAATTCCTGATTTTTCCCACTCACAGCAAAGTGTAAAATATAGAGTTTTAATTGTTAAAACTACAATGTAAAAATTCTTGTGTATATTTATCCTCATTTTTTTTTTCTAATTCTATAACAAAATTTGCAATTTATTCTGCAAATAAAATTCCCTTGTTTCTGATATTTTTTTAAACTTGTATGGGTGGACTAGTTTTAATGGCATTTTAAATAAAAGCAGCAAGATTACTAGTGTCCTGGAAATTTATTTAAATCCTCTCCTATTTTATGGCATTCACTGTGCAATGGGTTTTTGTGTGCTTGTTTTTGTGAAATGCTTGCTCAGAATTTAGTTGCTGGATAATACATTTCAAGTTTTATCTTCTAAGTATGAGATATATGGTCCATTATTCCACAGTTACAGTAGATCAATCAATTCAATCATTAGATAACATTTTGTGGAAAGTGCCATTGCTATCTGTTGAAATCTTTCTTTCTAATTTTTTTTATTAGGAATATGTTCTGTTTTAAGATGGCAGGTAGCTCAGCACTGCACAGTCACTTGCTCAGTCTTCCTTGACTTCCCAGTGGGATGGGAGAGAATCAACAGGAAAAAAACACAGTAGAACTTGTCAGCTGAGAGAAAGCTATTTACTAGGAGAAAAGGATAATAATTATGACAAAAATATACATACATATATATATGTATTGCATATGATTCATGTATATCACACATATATGAAATACACATTATTCATATATATTTATTTATATATATATATGTGAATGTATATAACCAGTGATGCACAAGCAATTGCTCACCACCCCCAACTGATGCCCGTCTAGCCTTCCTAACAGCACAAGAGAGCCAGAAGAATTCTCATCCCCTTTGAAACTCCTTCCACATGATGTCATATGGTGTGGAACATCCCTTTGACCAATTGCAGGCAGGCGTCCTAATTCTTTCCTCCCAGCCCCTTAGGCTTTTTGCTGTGAATGGCTTGGTTCCATACAGCACTGCTTAGCAGCAACTATAGACATAGTGTGTTAGCAAAATTGTTTTTCTCCTAGAGCCAAAACAAAGCATAGTACCAGACACTCCGAAGAAAATAATTCCATCCCAGATGAAACTAGTAATAATATGTTTGATACACACTTGTAACATTCTCTGAGGCTATGGCAGTGGATATTTTGATTATTTTTTTCTTGTTTTTCTAGAACATTGAGTGGTTTTCCATCGATAAATTACCATGCCACAGAAATGACATGACCCCCAAGTCCAAGCTAGGTTTGGCACCTAACAAATTTTTTATGGCCATTCCTTTTATCAGGTATGTTCAAGATGAGGTAAATGCTAGGTCAGTGCCTTTTGAAAAACTTTCATTTCATTAGATTTCTAGTAGTAAGCAGATCTTTTTGAACTTCTGCTTGCTTACAGGCCATTGAGGGAATGGATTTCCCGAAGGAATGGAGGAGATTCCTCAGATAGTGACAGATTTTCACCTACAGGGAGCACACCCTCTAAGCCCAACTTGGAAAAAGCTAGGTAAGAACCAGGTCAGTTTAACTTCTCCACATCCTTTTATAAGATATTGGTCATACAAATCTGATTGTCCTTTATCTGAGGAATCTATTCCAGTAATAGACTGTGCTAATTAAAAATAAATTATAATTAAGGGTTTATCTCAGAGGCCTGTAAACAGGATTGAAAGTTAACAGTTGCTGTCATTTCAAGTTTTTTAGTAAATTCTGAAGTGTCCAGAAATTAGGCAATTCCTTGAGTCCTGCTTTTAGGAACAAACAAACAAACAAAAAAGACATGAAAACAAAACAACAACAACAACAAAACAAAACAGAAAAAGACTCTCTAAAGACGAAGCAGTGTTGTAAAGTAACATAGCATGTAGTAGCTAGATAAAACCTATGAGAATCAGTAGAGGGGGAACAAGTGCTACTGGTTTCTCTTTCAGCTAGGATAAAAGTGATAGAGCAGACTTATAACCTGGACTCACAAAAACAAGACTTCAGTAATGTGAACGAGGTCAGCAACACAATATATTATGAATGACAGTGTGGGCTGAGACTGCCGCTGATGTTGGACTTGGTCTTCCTATCTGCAGCTGGATGAGTGATCGCTATTACATTTTCCACACTGGATTACTTCAGCTTGTCTTCCAAGTTGTTGTCAAATGCAGAAGAATCATTGTATGTCTGTTCTGCAACGAAGAGACTTTACGATGTATTGTAAACTCTTGTTTTCGTGTACTAGATCCAGACTTCGTAGTAGTCAACAGCTGTTCACAGATGGCTGTACAGGAGAGCAGTGGATGAAGCAAAAGCAGCAACAAAAGCCATGTAATCATCCTGAGATGTCTGAAGTGTTAAAAACAAAGGTAGGCTGCTCCTTAGTCAAACATGTGTATCTGATCTTAATTGAAATAGATGCATTTTTTGGTAAGTGTTCCTCCCTGGAACTAAACATACTGAATTTTATGAACATAGCATGCAAAATAAAATAAATAAATAAATAAAGCAATGGCCAGAAAACAAACAAAATGTAGGGATTTCTCAAATTTAGTTTATTTGCTTGGTACTGATGTTAGAAGTGATGGATATTAGGTGGTAGTTGTGTTACGTTATACATAAGCAGTAATTGCTTTTCATTTTCATTTCAATATATATTTATTTTCATTTCAAGACACTGTCTTTCATAATTTTGAAATACTTTGGGTATCCCTGACATGCATGTTGTAGTTGTGCAGGAGACTAAGTAGCTGGTGACTTGAGTGCATGATTGGCTAATTTCAGTATACTTCAGTTTATCTAAAAATCGTGTCAAATGTTTTAGGGTTATTTGGAGGAAAGTAGGAAGTGTCAGTAATGTCTTATGCTGCCATTTAAACTCTTCTCTTGACTACCTTTTGGACATAACGGCAGAGTCAGAGCTTGAAGGGCAATGGCAGAAAGCAGAATCAAGACACTCCTGCCCAAAAGAAGAGAAATGGAGTCCACAGTCAACCAGCTAAGCAAAACCATGCCTTGGTAAGAAAAATTTAGTGGCTATCTCAGTAGTTAACAGTAATGCTTAGTACATGTCCAGGCAGAAGCCCTGCTAAGGGAAAGTGATTTGTGTATCATAGATCATAGACTGGCTTGGGTTGAAAGGGACCTCAGGGACCATCCAGTTCCAATCTCCTACCGTGGGTAGGATTGCCACCCACCAGATCAGGCTGCCCAGGGCTGCATCCCACCTGGCCTTGAACACCTCTAGGGACGGGGTACCCACAGTTTCTCTGGGCAGTCTGTGCCAGTGCCTCACAACTCTCTGAGTAGTAATTTCCTCCTGGTATCTAATCTACATCTTCCCTCTTTTTAAGAACATTCCCTCCTTGTTCTGTCGCAATCATACCACATGTAAAATCTGTCTCCCTCCTGCTTATAAGCTCCCTTCATGTACTGGAAGGCCACAGTGAGGTCTCCCTAGAGCCTTCTAGGGAATATGCTGAACGAGCCAGCTCCCTTAGCCTTTAGTCATAGGAGAGGTGCTCCAGCCCTCTGACCGTACTCTGGACCCGCTCCAGCAGCTCTGTATCTTTCTTGTGCTTAAGGCCAAAGGCCTGCGTGCAGAACTCCAGGTGAGCCGCCACGAGACCTTGCAATGGCAGAGTAGAGTGGGTTAGTCACATCCCTCTCCCTGCTGGCCATTCTTCTTTTGATGCATCTTAGGATACAGTTGTCTTTTTGGGCAACTGTGCATGCTTCTGGCTTGTGTCCTCTGCAGAGTTGCTGTCAAGGAATCCTTCTTCCAGTCTGTACTCATGTCTGGGACTGTCCTGACTCAAGTGCCTGTGAACTTCTTTGATTTCACAGGGGTCATATGGGCCCCCTGCCAGCCCTGGGGGCTTCGTTTTGCTGTATAAACTGCACCACTTATCTTGAGGTTGCCAGCAAACTTGCTGAGGGTGCACTCAAACCCACTGTCTGTGTCATTGATACAAACCAGAGCTCTTTAATGTTTTTAGGAATAAGACATTTGAGCACATGGACCTACAAATAATGCATCCTTCCTTTGAAGTCTGCATTTTGGAAGCCAAGCTTATTTTAGCTGTTGAAAAAATTAGACATTTTACTAGACAATCCTTCTGCAGCTTTCCTGGTTTCAGTATGTCTTAGTTTCTTAAATGCTGATGTTTTACCCTTTATTGTATTAAAAAAAAAAAATAAATAAAAAATTGATACAGAACAATTAGATACATTTATTATTTTTCTCCTCAGTACCAAAATTTTGATATACAGACTTGCCTTGCATGCCATTATCTCATATAATTTTTTATCAACTTCTTTGGTGTGTTACCTTTCACATGCAGTAGTAAGTAACCATACTTGTCCCAGAGTTTTGATGGCTAGGAGAAGACAACGCTGAGATATCTTCTGTATATTATCTCTTTGAAATTCTTTCCCCCACAGTTCTTTCTAACCCAAATTCTGTGTTACCAATTCATGTGCAGCTGTGAGCCCCAGTTCTCCATTCATCACATCTGGCTTTAGTTTCTCTTGATTATTGGCTTTAGATTCTTCCCATTCTGGCTGTTAACTTTCTGATTTTCTTGTAAAAATGGAAACACAATAACCTCCTTCATTCTGTGAAGTTCTTTTCATTGCAAGAGATGCTTGTAGGTCTGAGAGCAGAAGAATGGAAAATAGAATGATTGACTGCAGAAATTTAGCTGCATGGGAAAACAAGGTGAATCTCTAGAATCTTGATGGAGACTAGTGGAAATGTTAATACTGTGGAGTCACAGTCCAAGCTCTTTAGTGACTTTGCTGAATACCTCTGTGGCATTTCACTTGCATTTCCATTGATTGTTAATCTGTTGAAATTTAAATACTTCATGCCCCAGCAATAATTTTCTAATGAAGTTTACAGGCCTGCTGCTCTTAAATTTACATAGTGCAGAGAGCCATGCTTTTCTCTGTTTGTATGCTTATAGCTGCATATCTAGGGCTAACAAATCATCCCTGGAGAATTCTAAATTTGTGTCTCTAATGCATGGTAATCTAACTGGCAGTAGTTTGCTGCTTGCAAAAATGCACTCCTCTTGATTTCTGGGACAAAGAATAGGCTTATGTATGTGCAACTTCAAGTCCACACCATCGTGCTGTAAGACCTTTCTGGCTTATGACATTTAGAAAACAGAATTTTTGTTTTCTTAAAAGCTTGCATTTTGAAAATGGTTGGTTGATAGTTACTAGGTTAGGATTTTTGGATCATTAAGAGAAAATTTTTGTATTCAGAGTGGTGAGGCATTGGCTCAGGCTGCACAGAGAAGCTGTGGATGCCCCATCCCTGCAGGTGTTCAAGGCCAGGTGGGATGATGGAATCATGAGCAGCCTGATCTGGTGGGTGGCAGCCCTGCCCGTGGCAGAGGGTTGGAACTGGGTGGGCTTTAAGGTCTTTTCCAATCTAAGCCACAATATGAAGATTGCAGTGTTTCTGAAAGATTTATGGACTTGGTGTTAGTAAGGTAACATCACAGAATTTATCCTGAGTTGTAAGTAACACAACTCACAGAGGTAGCGTGTCAAAGCAAGAACAGCAAGTATGTTTCTTAGCTAACACTTAAGCTACGCTCCCAAGAGACATAATGCCATGTTTTGTTAACTAAGTGTAATGTGTTTTTGTTCTCTTAAACCAGAAATGTGAAAAAAAGCTTAATCCAAGAAAACTTCAAGATAATTTTGAAACAGGTAAGCACATTCTGAATTTCCACCTAAAGTCATAGGATCACTGAAGTTGTGAAAGACGATCATTGTGTCCAAACACCAAAAGTCCAATACTAATCTGTGTCCCTAAGCTCTGTGTTCACACATCTCTAGGGATAAGTGCCTCCAGGGACTCATGCTTTGGAGTCATGCACTGAAGGCTGAAGTCACCCTACTTACTATGTTTGGGATTCTTTCCTTGTTTGCTGGTCTATCAGGTGTTATTTTCTAAGGAAGTCCGGGTTAACCAAATGGAAAACATTTGGTTAACTTAATGTTGTAAAATATATTGGTTTTGCAGTTCTCCTCAGTTGTGAAAGTTGTCAGATTGGATCCTATTGGTGGGTGAAAAATACCTAAAAATTGGTTTATAAAATTAGCATTTCAGCTAACAGAATGCTGGTGATTAAGTAAGTGTAGGTTCAGGGCTTTCTGTCCTGCTAGTAACAACTGGGATACTCTGGAGTGTTTATGCAGTTTTTTATTTCCTGCTTAGAAAGTAGGATTGCATTTATTTACTTCTTTACAAGTTATATAGTGCAAAACAGCAACATCTCTGAAAAACTAGCAATTCAAGTTGTCTTCAAATTGCTGTGACTTCTAAGATTTGTTCTAGCTGATAGATTTGTAAGTATGGCTTTTTGATCAGGAGCAGAAAGAGATAAGTCAGACAATGGTTTTTCCATTTTTATTAATTAGATATAATTTCAGGTATGGCTTTGTACTGTCAACAATTTTCTTACTTATGACTAGACACTTAAAATTGATTTCATGTGTTTTCTCTTTAAGCAGATGCAGCGTATGAGATCTGCTGTTCTGGTGAAGATCTGCTGCAGGAGCATGTAGAGGGGCACTCTGTGGCATGCAATGGCAATTACAAATTTGCTTTCTCATCTAGAGCTTTCTTGAGTTTCAAATTTGACCACAATGCCATAATGAAATGTTTTGACCTCTGACAGCAAATCTTTTACGAACAAAGTTCAGACTTGCCTGTTGCAATTGAGGGGGTTTCTTATCTAGCCTTACTCTTTCTCAGGAGTTTTTTAATTACTGTTGTTGAATTTTTGTTGTTGTTCATTTGTTTTTAAATGCAGTGCAGGGGCTGACTGGTGGTTTGGAAGGGTTTGTTCTCTTTGCAGTTTCAGAGTGGCATAGTCAAGTGTTGCACTTTAAATGCAGTATAGCCTTTGTCCACAAAAGTACCTTTCCAACCCTCAGTTTACTTGTTCCTAGCCATGCATTAAAGGGCATTCTTTTTCCTCATTTTTTTGTGTTTTTTTCAGATTGACATTGACTTTTTTTTTGTACTGCTGGAGTACACCAGCTAGTTAGACTTCTAACTGCTCTGATGTAAATTATTGGACTTGTTAGTCATTATTTTATAGTGCATTGCAATATTATGGCAGCGGCAATGAAACTGGTTCTCAGAGGATTCCTCTGTCCTGGTAATTTTTAAACCGGAAGTTGCACATTTCAAACCTTGCCTCAGCCTATTATCCTTCCTTTTTCCTGATTGTTTGCCCGCTGTATCTTCCCTCCTTCACACTGAAAATGAACTTCTGATGGCTGGCAATCAGTAGTACATGGGTCAAGTTATAGCAATTTGACTTCTCAGGTACCTACTCTGCCACTGTTTCTGGCAAGGATATGCAGACTAGGTAGAACTTAGCCTTGAGAGTGTCTAACTTCACCTCTTACCCAGATGGGAACAGCACATAAAAAGAAAATTTTCAAAAAAGAAAATCTCAAACTAGCTTGTGGGAGGTTTCCTATGTAGAATTTATACTGAATGTAAATAAGCCTCTACATCTTGCCAGGAGGAAAGAAGGTGCATGGATAATAGAATCATTGTGTGACACTAAATGACTTAATCAGGCTTGCAATAACTATTCTAAGGATGTCCAGTATAGTATTCCGTGCTGTTGTCGTCAGTTCTTCCCTTTAGTTTATGCTCTGTATATGTATATATATATACATATATGTAGTAGTACTGAATTGCACTTGCAGTTAGCATTTTAATGATGTAGCCTCAGTCATTTTCAGCTACAACATTTTCTTAGTAATAATATCAAATGTACAAAGAAAAAAAAGCAGTAATAGTTGAGGTGATGAACTGTTAAGTGTTAAATCACTCTGATTCATGATAGTGATTTGAACACGAGCTTTGCAGTTCAGAGAAACGCACTAAACTTATTTGATACAGCAGCTTGTGTTATCAGGAATATTGTCCCAGATTTAAAAATGGACTTCCAACTAAAATTAACTTGTGTGATTAGTAACTTCCACCCTGAATGAACTAGGCCCTCTTTTCTCATTCAGAGTGTATGGTCATGCACTGCGTCTTTATGCAACTCATATGGCATCCAAAAACACAATCCTTGTCTTCCTTTAACTACCCTGCTTCCTTTATTACCTAGTGTTTTTCCTCAGAAATAGCTTTAGAATTTGGCTTGTTTAATCTTCCTAAGGCCAGGTGATTTGGGACTCCAGTGCTCTAACACTTCTGGCAACAAAAATTGTGGATTTTTCTATAGGTTAACAGGAGAAACAGACTACAGCATTTCTTCCTTCTGGAGGACAAGAGTCCTGAGGGCCTTGTTTTTCAAGACCAAATCATGAAATAACTCAATCTAGCTTTGTCTCACCTTGTTTAAAAATAAATAAATAAATGCAAAGGCTGTTCAAAACATGAAGTTGAAAAGTACAGTAAGTGAAAAGGTGGGATAACGCTGGAGATTACTCAGCTTCAGGTAAAAGTAATCCTTAGTTATGTTTCTAATGCAAGTAGTTGATTTCCCAGCAAAAGTGCCTTTACTCATGGTGAGGCAGACGTGTATATTCATATCTGGAGGCTGCTGCTGCCTGTGGAGTTAGCAAAACTCTCCTAGGGCATGATTCAATATCAGGCTGTGGAAATCTGTAAAATGTAGGTTGATATTTTTAAAAAGTTATATTTCATGTAGTGCTCTGTGAAATAAGGGGAATGTTGATGAAACCATAAATTTGGAACTTCTGTCACAGACAGAGGAAGTCTTTAAAATGAAGCGTGTCCTATGAATAGGAGTTGCTGGGTGCTTTCTCTTCACTGGATCATTTTTTTTGTTCCTAGTGAAAGCCTGGCTCAGTGTAAGAGAGGCTGATTGCTTCATTAAGCAGCCCAAAGTGGGGCTTACACACATTAATGATTTTAGTAAATCTAGCCTTAATGTGAGTTGCAAATAAATGTGATAAATATGCAATAACTTTTACTTCTTTGTATAAGGGTACTGTTCCTTGTAGTATTATTGCTTTCTGCTTCCTAAGTAAGGTTGCTAAAACCTGAGTGTGGTGGCATGTGACCTATGGTTTCCATCATGCCCTGCACTGTGAGCATTTTGGATTGTTTACTATTAGTTCATGTTCTTATTTCACCATCATTTTATAGTTAAATATATTTCCAAGTTTAGAAGTATACAGTTTACATTCTTTTCTGTAAAACAGTGAAGAAATAACAAGTGAGAGATTTTAATTCAGTTTTTATTTTTGGGAGCTAGACACAGGAAGATAAGTAACTGCATGCCAGACTGAAGAGGTGAAGAGCCAGAATGTTCCCCTGGAAGAGGGGTCATTCAGAGTATGAAAGGTCACTCAGTTTTCTTGAAATTGAAGAAGGTATGGAACGTCCAAATTATAACATAAAAACAACAAATGTTTGGGTACTAGGAACCTAGTACTGCTTTGCTATTTCTGGTACCACATAAATTCTCTGTCTTGGAGTTTTATGGCATCTATCCACCATGCAGAATGCCTTGAAGATTGACTGAAGAGTGATCTGCCAAATGGAATTAAGGATGTTCTGTACTGTTGCATTAACTCCTTGATGTACAAGCATGCTTCTGAAAATACCTGTGTCTGGCGTAGTTTGAAGTCAGAAAACGGTGGTATTGAGAAAAGGGGATATAGCTTTATTTACTGCACAATCAAGGCTTTTTAATTTTTTTTTTTACACTTAATTTTAGACCAAACCTGCGTAAGTAGTTTGTGACACAATTTTGGGCCTAGTTCTTTTACCAGGCTTCCAGTGCTGTGCTCCAATCTTCCAGATCTAGTTTAGTGAACTGAGAACAATGCTGATTGTGTTTTGCCTTCACCTACTTGAGGCTGTTGTTTACGTAGCAGTTACATTTATAAACAAGGCAGACTTTGAGTCTGGCTATTCTAATAGACTTGCTCTCAGATTGAGCACTGTTTTCCAACTCTTTGTGTTTATTGATTTGCAGTGTATGCCTGCACTCATACCATTCTAGTATGACAAGCAAGAGTCTGCATTTAGAATCCAAGCTGTAATGTCCTGGGGGTACAGATGGCACTGCTACTCCATAGGTGACATAGGTTAACTGTCAACTTTTTTTTTTAAAAAAAGAAATTCTAAGCAACAGATTTTTTCAGAGATAAAAATCACGTGCCTTCATCTTTTAAATTAAGAAGTTACATTCTGAGAACTAGTAGAATAGCCTCCCTTGTTGATTGAAAAGCAGATTATTCACAGAAAATTGAGCTTGCACTGTAACTGTTGAAGAATCTGGTGCTTACATGTGACTTCATATAAATTTCAGCTTGTTTTTGTTATTAAAATATTTCAACTTTTGAAGCAACCAAAATAATTTATGAGGTAAATTTCTACTAACTGAAGGTGCTTTTACAGTACATTAGGCTTGGAAATGTCTCTACTCTTGCATAACAGATTTTTGTTCCAATGTGTTCATAGCTATAGTCTAGTTCAAGAATGAAAGAAGTGGGTGAAGTATGAGTATCAGCACTGTTCTTAATACTGTACATATGCACTGATAGATGCAGTAGGATTTGTGCTGTGTGTGCATTTAACTGTTTCAAGTAGGTTGTGAACTTACAAGCAAGACGATGTAGCAATTACATTGGCCACGTTCAAAATCATACAAGATAAAATTACTTGGATTATTGGGAGTACATTAAAATCTAATGCTTGGGTTCTAACCTGTCTTTTCATTAAAAGTGCAAGGTTAAAATAGACCAACTTACAGATTCCAATTTACTGGAACACTTACCTTTAAATAGTTCTCAGCTGTGGAATACTTCTTGGAAGAAAATGTGTCTTCATCTGTCAAAGTTGGGGGAGGGGGAGAAACAAGTATACTTCTATTTTTTTTCACAGGGTACAAAATGTTTAAAATTTAGTAGGTCCACCCTGAGCTTTATGGAAAATACTTGATCAGAAGAACTAACTTGCAATTTGTTTCTGTTATGGGTTATACTTCAGTGCCCTGAAGAAGATAACTACATCCCATCAGGTGCTGATTTTAAAACAGGCATCCACAGCTTTTTAAGAATACAGCACCTACAAACTCAGTTCTCTACAACACACTTTTCACTGATAAAAGTTTACTTGCAACTTTTTCTAAGCACGTTTGAAATTAAGCTGGGGAGGCAAACCATTTATTTTTACTGTTTGGGTGCATATTTCTGTTATACAGGAAAAGTTTGTAAAATTCATGATTTAACAGCTCTCAGTAAACACTTCTCAAGCCAATACTTAAGACGGGATCCTTAAGGAATTTTACCACGTCTGCCTGGCACTGCAGTATGTGGAAGCAGTACTTCAGCCTTGAGGACCTGTCCATCCAGGTTTGCAAGAAACTTTAACATATGGAAAACAAACAAACAACAAACAAAAAAAGAAACCACAAAAAAGAAGCCAAGACAAACAAGCCTGCAAAAATAAAAAACCCCAACAGCAACAACAACAGAAAGAAGAAAAGAGACCCCACAGAGGAAGGTGGGGGTTTGTTCATTAATTCTGGCTTAATGCTGAATCCCTATACATGCACAAGGACTTGGACTGACTCAGATATTGCTGCCTAAAGAAAACTTTTCTGTGCAGTGTTGCATGCCTTGCAGCAAAATAGAGAGCCCGTGTTTTATTCCGTGGCTCATGCATGATGGTTTATGTCTTCCTCCTGTTTCTTTAAAGAAAGAAGTTAAATCTGTTTTCCTCACTGGTATGGAAGTGGCATACCAGTGCTAAGTAGAAAGTACAGCTAGTTGTGGGTTGAACCTATGTGAAGTTACAGATTTTATTCAATTTCCATTATGTTATCTTGAGGAGGGTTTGTATTGGTCAGCTGTTTGATTTTAGTAAATAAAATCTGTAACTATCTGTAACATCGGTTGTACTGATGATTGTGACTATAATTTTATTCATGGATGAAGAAACTGAAGCACACAATTTAAAAAGCAATGACAAAATTGACATTTTCTTCTATAATGTAATTTCTCTTTAAAATTAAATGACTTTATGTACAATCTTGCTGAAGTATAAGAATTACTGATTAGAGTGAAATGTCGTGCCTGTGCTGCTAGTACAGCTTATTCTTTCACTGTAGAATGTTTAACATTGCTTTAAACTAGCTAGCAAGACAGATAATGTTTGTGCCAGTAAAAACAACCGTAGTACATTCAGAGCCAGTCATGAAGGTGGATAAGAGGCCCACTGAACACAGTGGGAAGAAAAACCTTTTTTTAAAATAATGTCAGACTAAGCAAGGGGAGTATGTGATGTTCAGTCACTTCTAAGAACAAAAATTTTGGTCCACATAATCTGAATTTAAAGTAACATACAGAATGTGCCCTCCTGTTTGTGCTGCGTTTCCTGAATCTGTAGGGGGTGCGTGGTGAACACCTGCGTTCAGCTCTCTTACAGCACTCCTGGCAGTGTCACGCCATCCCCCTCGCTGCCTCCTGCATGTGGCAGGGGGTTGGAGTCTCATGATCCTTGAGGTCTCTTCCAGCCCTGGCCATTCTGTGATTCCGGGGCTTATCTCAGGGAAGGTGACTGTGCTGCCCCTTAGCAGAACCTCTGAGCAGTAAGATGACACGGTGTGGCAAAGCAACCACAAGGAAAAGAAGCAGCTTTAGAAATTTATTCAGAATATAAGAACATTTGTAAAATAAGTATTATAAATGTCTCTGTATAAATAAATGCAGTTTTTACAATTCTATATCAAATAAACACAAAATAGCTATTTTACAGCAGCTAAGAGACTAAAAACCAGCAACACATTTAAAGCTATTTCAGCAAGGTGAAAAGATTCTAGAATTACAATGTATGGTACAGTATTAAATGAGGTTTTAAATGAGAAACTTCTAATAAAAACAGCAGAACAATACTGACATAATTAATGCAATTTTAGACATGTGCTATAGCTAACAGTACATTCAAGCTGGTGAAGATTTATATGCTTAGTTAGAAAAAAAAGTACTTTTTTCTGAACACAAAGAAATAAAAGGTTTCATGCACTCCAGCAATTAAGAAATAAGACACCCTAAGATTAATGAGTGAAAAACATTTGTGGTTCTTGCCAAGATAAACTATTTTTCTTGCTTTGCTAATGTATTAACTCCACAAGTGTTAGGTGAATTAAGTGTTGGGTCACTCAAGTTGATTTGTGTCAGTGATGAAGTACTTGTCCATACACTGCTGTGCTACCAGTTCACTTAAAGGCAACTTGCAACTTGCTTCTCGGTACTCAGTCACAGGATTGGAGCCATTTTAATCAGAGATAACAGTTTCCACAACAGCAGTAAGCCCTTCACCGTGACCCTGCTGCCCTACTGTAGAATGCTGACAAGCAGTAGCTGATGGTTTAGGCAAAGTAACTTTTGTTTTGGCAAATTACAGCTGCTGCTGGGGCTGTCTGATACCAGTCTTGCTGTCCTACTTACGTCCTATGGGAAGAAAAGGAATGTGGCTTATATACAGTTAATGATTTATAATTCACTGTGGAACACTTTTAGAGTGCTCTTGGTAGGGAAGGTGCACAGCAAAGGTAGTAAAACATCATTCAGTTTGTGCAGAACCAGCAAATCATTAGGCCTTAGGCTGCAAAGAACACTGCAATTTTCTATGCTTCCTAATGTACATCTTGCCTATAAAGACAGGTTCAAATGCTTTAAGCTTTATTGCATTACATGAACTTAATGGCTTCTTCAGCTACCAAGGAACAGAACAGGGCATAAGGAAAGCCCATGTAAGAGTACTGTCTAACTATCTTAAAGTGAAAGGTTTATTTCACTCTGACTATTTGAGATGACCTCACACTAGATGGGTGTTCTAGATCCAAGAAGACAAAACTGTAAACGGCATAGAAAATGATCAGGTGTATACTTCAGACACAAGTGTGGTCAGCCACATGGCAAAAACAAAAAGTGCTGTTGACAAGAAACTTGTTGACCAAGGATAACCAGGACATTTAGCAAAACCAGAGCAACACTATCTATTCCCTCAATAGTCTGGTTTCAAAAATATCCATTTGCATTATAAGTAAGTTAAGAAGTACAATTAGCTTGACAGAATGGACTGATCTAACCCAAGCCCAGGGCATCACTACCTACAACTCAGTTTTGAAATTAGCACTGTTTTAATGTGCTGCTGCAATCAACCACTGAGCGTGCTGGCTTTTTGCTCATCTATCACACTCCAGTGAAGTATAACTAATCATTACTACCCTAAGGAAGGAAGAAAGTAGAAGGTAGACAGTAGAACAGAAATTACCTCCAGCATGCTTTAGGAGTTTGCCAGGTATGTTTGTCAGTAAGTAAAACAGATGCCAGTAATGAAATCAGAGGAGTAATGATCAGAAACTGCTCCAGATTAAGTTGAAAACAACACTTAACAACGTTGTATTCTGAAAATAAATTCTCATGCCTGTAAACCTAAGCCACTAGTAGATAAAACCAATCCTCTAAAAATACTTTGCTTGAACTAGAAATTGTAGGACTGAATAAGAGAAGTTTTTGTAATTCTACATGTAATAGAACTTGAGGTGCAATTCAGCACATAAAAACAATGATGGACAACTGAATTCTGAGTTACTGGAGAGAACTGAGCTTGAAAAATGCAACGTACAAGAGTAACAGCAACAGGCTTACAATGTTAATGTTTAGCCAAACTAAAAACAAGTGTAAACAAGGAAACTGTCTTCTGTACTCACTCAAGAAAAAACAACATTTAAAATGGGAACTCGGGCAGTCTCCCATCTTTGCTCTGTCGAGAAATCAGCCCAATCCCCATGCTCCACTTAATACAATAGGCCAACATCTCTCAACTAAGTCACACGATAATGCACTAACATGATGTGGCTTAAACAAAAGAACAGTAAAATTAACAAAAGTTAACCTACAAAGCTCTATGAAGACCTCATTCACATTCTGTTTGCGGCTGTACATCCATACACCTACTCATTTATAGTTTTGCATGTATGCATTCAATATGAAACAGGTACATTTCTACTGAGTACCTTTTTTGGTTAAAAGTATTAAAAGATGTCATTCTACCGCATGACAAAAGAAAGATGTGCTGAAATCTCTATAAGTGACAAAGGCTGCCTACCCTCTTACGGAAAATTTTGGCTATCATGTACTGACAAGAAAACTCAACTTCCACAAATTACTTGCAAACAAACACTGTGCAGTCTAAATAAATAGCAGATGATGGCTTGCAATCTCTGAACCACCCTTGGCACAGACTATTTATCTGGCACGGAAAAACTTACAGCCTTTAGTCCTCTTACAGACTCATACGAAATAAACCGTCTTTTGAAGAGATGCAACTTGTTTTAAAAACTGTTTCATCCCCTCCCCAAATCAAAAGCATCTTTCCTACTTTATTGTCACTGTTAGTTAACAGTCATGCTACTGTGAAGCACAAAGCAAACAAGCCTATGAGCTTCCTGAACTGCAGCCTTCTGTTTAGACGGCTTAACCATCTGAACGTGTCGTGGGTACAGCCATGTGCAGAGGGACTTGGGAATCAGAAAAACTCAGATTACCTGCCCAAATTTAAAACCTATCAACAGTAACTATTTTCCTATGTCCTACTATCATCCATAGGACATAAAATGGAAGAGAACCTGTATGAGTAAAGACATAACGACACAGACAATGAACATAATTATAGCATGATAATTCAGGCACTGCCATTTTACATTATCAAACAGTACTTAGTTAATGCTTAGATTATCCCCATAACTCCTGGCTGGACAGCTGAGATCTGAGAGATGGTGCTGAACTGTGCCTGTGTTGATAGGTCAGATCTCAGCGCTGAAGCAACCTAAAAGCCAGCCTCTAAAATAAAGAAATCTGTGATGGCACTAAGATCTTTGAAAGAGATGCATTTAAAGTGAAGTTTCATTTGTGTGTGGTCTAGAGTTCTCTTCTTCTAGCAAAGCTATTCTTTGTTTGAGCATCCTGACTTGTGTTTCATGTCTCTCCACCATGGCCATCATTTGCGATTCCAGTTTCTTCAGCTTGTTTTGATGCTTTTTCTTTGCTTTTTCATATGCTGCTACCAAGTTGCTGTTAGAAATACAGGGCAATATACAAAGTCATTCAAAAAATCTTGCTCACAGCGAGTGCAAAAAAATAACCCCAACCAAAAGCAAAACACGTTTTTCAGGGCCCTCAAAGATTTGGTCCCTCTTCCTGAAATGTACTGGAGCTTTAAAACTCATTTGATCTGCAGCTCATTGATCTGAACGTGAATCAATGCTTGCCTCTGTACCTTCTCTGGACAAATACACATCTTTACCAGTAAACTAGTTACTCAAAAATATTTTAACATATGGTTCAATACATAAAGAAGACTTGGTATACTAAACGTGAGAGTTGGCATATTATACTAAAACACTAAATATGTCATGCTTTATGATTCTCTTATGGCCAGAGTCTGATTACAAAAATCCAGCACTGAGTAAACAGTTGCATTTGAAAATTAACATGAGAGTAGGACACGTTTTGCTAATTTGTCAGCTGCTAAATATCTTCTATATAAATATCTGTTACATATCCACCTGGTTCAGCAGGAGAACTTGTGGTAGGCACTGTTCCTCACCACAAAGACTTTCTCTCCTTACTGTAACGTATCAATGAAAATTACACTGTGAGAAGCAGGCTCCTTGTAGGATGGGCAGATAAAACCCATGTCCTCAGTTCACCCACATGTACTGACCGAGTAATAAATTTTAAGAGTGATTATTGAAGCTGGTTTGTTAAAGAGGCTGGAGCCAGAGAAAAAAAGGAGAAATTTATGCAAAATAACGGATTTGGAAGTCTGATAAATGGAGGGACTTAAGTTTTTGTTTGTTTTAAACAATATGGCACTTCCTAGTAACTCAGTTACAATCAACCAGTTCCCTCCACTCTGTTTTTAGCTGTGTAGTTTTCAGCATCCTCACTAGGAAGAGTTACCCTCCTCCACATCTAACCTTCAGAATTCAACTTGTGAGAATGCAAGGATCCAGAAATGGTCATTATGACACGGTGAGAATTAGAGTGCATTACTAGAACAAAGCAAAAAAAAATATATATATGTCAACGGTGCATCCATCTGCTGGGAGATACTTTACCTGTTTGCCCTTTTCAGGTCATTAACAAATTCTGCAGATTGCTGGTGTCTGATTTCACTGCTTTTTGTGAGCCTCTCCAAAGCACTCACCAGTTCCTGCACTCTAGCTTTCAGTTTCTTCTCTCTGTATTGGAAGAAAAGGAAGGAGAAAACTATTCTCAAAACAGAAATAACACTTCAGCTTGCAAAAGCATGAATGGTAATAATCAAGTTTCTTTGTAAGTTGTGTTTACAGGTAAAAATATTTAATATAACTTAGACAACGAAGAAAATCATTATTATGTTAAGCTTTTCCAAAATCTGATTTTATAAAATTCACTGTTTTAGAATACAGGCTGAGGCACAGCAAGCAAAAAGGAGCAGAAACCTCTGTGGTGGGTCACTGCCTTGTATGTACCAAATCACACTAACAAGTATCTTGTAACAATGTATTTTTTAAGGGTACCTGGAAGGTACCAACTTGTATGTCTTGATTTAGCAACAAAAGAAACTATAAAGAAAAATCAAGTATCATGATGATCACATAAAAAGAATTTGATTAACAACAGCACACCAGAATTGCCCTTAAGCTTGATTTACTAAACAAATCTTTAGAAACAAATATTTGGAAATGACTACAGATGCAGAGCAATGTCACTTGATTTCAGTTACAGTCTCCAATTTATTCAAGCAATCTAATCTACAATGTGAATTACAGTAGATCAGTGGTTTCCTTAGGAGTCAGCAAATTCAGTTCATATGGCAGTGAGAAGAAGACAAAGATAAGAACAAGAGAGCAGAGAACAGACAGAAAAGATCAAGCAAAAGAAATACAAAATGAGCACAGGAATTTTTTCTATCAGTAACTCCTTCAAATAAACCTCAATAGTGAGATTTAAAATACCAAAACAATATAATTACTAATACTTAAAATACCTACAAATTACGAACCGAAAACTAATTGCAAGAAGTGTGCGAAAACGGGAGTAAGGTATCTTACCAAATCTCTGAGAGCAAAACAAAAGTGGATAATGCAGAAGTTCTAGGGAGAATTTCAGCTGGCTCTCAGAAGCACTTTGCAGTGAGGGGGAAGGTGTCAGGAGCAGGGCCTCCTTAAGGCAGCTCCCAGCAGCCTGCGGCCACATGCACAAGGTCTTCCCTCTTCACCCCAGCTGCTGGTGCAGAGACAAGGGGGCCCTTTTCTGGAACTCATCCTCACGACACAGATAATTCAGAGGGAAAGCACTGGCTCTGGGGGAAAGGGATGTGGGGGGAGGGGTTACACTGGGACAAGAGAGTGATTTTGTAATGCCAAACCTTACATGGGGAACTCGGCACCTACAGAGGTATGTGACTCTGCTCCATGTCCTCGAACCACATTGCAATGATTTGGTTTTCCTCATTTTTGTTGCAGCGTTGCTGCGCTGGACTCCTTCTAAGTAAGGCCACACGTGGGCTGCAGGAGCCATGTAGGAGTGAGCGCTCCTCACACACACAGCAGCACCTGGGCACCACCCCTGCAGAGCACACGGGGCAGCTGCCCGGCTGCAGCTGGGAAGCCATGTGCCTGCAGGAACCGCACCGCTGGAGCGCAGGAATGTGAAGCCTGACAGCCGAGTGAAATTCCATCCTGAACTGAAACGAACACCCCCTTGCACAGAGGAAGACAATAACTTCTCCACACTCAGTTACCCTGTCAGAACACCATGGAATTTTCTCCAGGAGAGCTGGACACGTGCTTATAACCCGACATGTTGTGAAGGCCTCCTGCAGGCTGCACAGAAGCTGTTTGCCCGCTCACCGCCTGCAGTGCCTGGGCTGGCCCGGCTGCGGCAGCATCCTACAACCAGACAGCCAGACACGACAGCACGTGGCACACTGCACTGTGTCCATCTGCCTCAGCAACAGAACAGCTTTGAGAACGACCAGGGGAATATTCAGCACGCTGCAGATGCTGATGTACTGGCCAGGTGAATGAGAGGCCTTGTGATGAGGAACTGTCAATATTCTCACACGTCCTTTCACTGACGGACTGCACTCTATTTTCAAATTATTCAGTCTTTTCCCTTAGGGGTTAAAAGCTCACCACCTCCCACCCCAAGTACAAATTTTATTCCTTTACATTCCTTTTTTAGCTGATGGAATGCCTCAGCACAAAGTACCTTTGAAATTTGTTTCCTGCAAAGAAAACAGGAACTAAACCAGTTTTTACATGCAGATGAAGACAAATAAGAAACCCATCATGGGTCAGACATGTCAGCCAACATGTGCGTGCTGCTGTGAGAGCCACGGCATGTGGGACAGCAGATGGTGTGAATTAGGTGTCTGTCAGCTCTGAAAAACTCAGGGGCTGTGGGGAAAGCTCAGTAGCACAGTGTCCTGCACTGTGGCTAGGCAAGGGAGAACATCTGCAGTGTTTGGGCAGAGAAAAACTAAAATTCCTATCTATCTGGTCAATGCAACGTTATGTGGGAGAAAAGGAACAGCTGTGAAAACACTGTGTACAGTCAGCCCAAGGGAAGGAATCCTGCAGAGCCACAACACATAGCAGCCAAGATCCCCGATACACCTGGGGTAACAAAAGCCATGTGGAAAGAAATGCAATGGGGAAGGCTTGGAGGAACTTTTTGCACACAGTGAAGTTGTCTGCTCAGGTGACTGTTACCTGGTAAAACCAGTCAGCTTTTGCACACGTGCCAGCCAGTCATGGTCTGAACTCAGTTAAAGCATCAAAAAATTATTTCTTTCAAATCTGTCCTGCAACACCTTTGTCTACTTCTTGCCAAAGACACAGTGAGCAGACTGCTAACATCCTGGGCCTCTGTGAGCTGCTTACACAACTCCCAGATGCAAGCTCCCCGACATACACAGGTAACAGAATGTAATGCTACTAATCTGGGTCCACCAAAGCTAGATTTGCATCACTAGGACACATGCATTCTCCAGTGTGTAGTGATGAGATCCAGACACATCCGTTGCCTTTTCTTGATGTTGAGGTCAGTGGAAGAGTACTTGCCAGTGCCTGCTCTCCCATGCTCATAATACTCTTCTCATTTCTAACACCTATTAGCTCTGCTTAGACAGAGAACTATCCTCATTTGTGTCTTGACAGAACTTATTCTTTAGTCTGGCAGCAAACAAAACTAACAGGGGATTCTGAGGTGCTCTGTCTTCATAAGATTTCCACAACCACTTCACTTTCCTGATTGTTACTGCAAACCAGCATGATCATAGAATTTCAGGACTGTTTGAGTCAGAAAGGACCCTTAAAGTTCACCTAATCCAACTCCTCTGGAATTAACCTTTACCTGGATTCTCAGAGCACCATCCAACATGTCCTTGAATGTCACCAGGGATGAAGCATCTACGATCTCTCTGGGCAACCTGTTCCAGTGCCTCACCACCCTTACTGTAAAGAACATCTTCATTATATCCTGTCAAAATCTCCCCTTTTTAAGTTTGAGACTATTTTCCTATGTCACAACAGATCCTGCAGAAGAGCCTGTCCAATTCTTTCTTACAGCTACCCCTTTAGATACTGAAATGTTGCTCTTAGGTTGCCCTGGAGCCTTCCTTTCTCCAGGTTGAACAGCCCCAGCTCTCTCAGTCTGTCCTTGTAGGTGAGGTGTTCCATCCCTCGGATCATTTCTATGGGTCTTCTCTGGACACACTCCAACAGGTCCATGTCTCTCCTGTACTGAAGACCTCAGATCTGGATGCTGTACCCCAGCTGAGATCCCACCAGTGCAGAGTAGAGGGGTACAATCACCTCCCTTGCCCTGCTGGCTGTGCTTCTTTTGATGTGGTCCAGGATACCGTGGCCTTTCTGAGCTGTGAGGGCATGTTGCTGACTCACGTCCAGCTTGCTATCCACCAGTACTCCCACGTTCTTTTTAGGAAGGCCTGTGCTCTGTGATCTGAAGAATCAGCCACTACAGGCTTAATAAAACAGGATATTCTAAAACAATAGTCCTCGTCATGTGCAACATCTTTTCCAGGATGAGAAAGTGTCAAAACTGTGAACTAGGGGTGGAGATGCATTTCATGCCACCACATGAACATCCTGCTAGGGGCTGTCTTACAGTTGCGGCATGGCCTTCGGCTGTCAGCGTCTGGAGAAGAATCTAGTGGAGAAGGCTGTATGCCAAGCTCACACTGCTGTCCTACCCCTGGACTGTGGTACAGAAAAGAAAGAAGCTGAGAAAGCAACTGCATGTTTTTTGATGGAGGCAAACATTTTTAGGTCAACACTAATGTTATGATCGCCCAACTCACAACTCAACTGGACTGCAGAAGTCAGCACAGCTTTTCTCTCACCAGTTCCTCTTCCAGTTAGCTACTGAAGCTAGAATGGCAGAAAACACAGCCACAGAACCTCATGGGCACAAAGAGAATGAGTGTGTGTTCAGGGAACAAACTAATGATCTGAGAGTACAGTTCACTTACAGCACACGGACTCTATGCTGCAGGGCAATTAGAAAATCAGTTGGGGAATCCCTTGACTACATTTTCCAAGAAAAAGTTCAGAATAGTGTATTTGGAGGCATGGAGCCTATTCTGACATCTACTAAAACAGTATATCCAATAGAATGTAGAACATGCTGGTAACAAAGACTTTTGTTTTTTATTTTCACAATCAAAACATTCAGTGGGCAGTTGCCAAGCAGTTTTCAAGGGCTTTTTGTTTCAGACGGGATGGTTTTAATAGAAAAGCAAGCTGAAAGGGCCAAACATTTTATCTGGTTTCAAGGCTACCACTGAACAGAAGGTGGAATCCTGCCAGAGCCATACAGGAAATTATATAACACAGGGTACATTTCTGAAGTTTCTGTCAATTTGGCCTCCATACAACACCTCCATGTTTGGCCCAGAATAATGTAAGTGAGGTCTTCAGCACCTTCTATTTTCTCTCCTGTCTGGGATTTCTGAGGCATGTTCAGATTTATATGCCAGAAATCTTCCTAGGCAAATCTTTCTGCTCTTATCCACCTCATGCAGAATTCCCATATGTCACAAACAGAAAGCCACTCTCCCCTGGCATTTGAAGAACTGATCCTTCTGCTCGTGGCTTGGAGTGCCCCCAGCTAATTTCCCTCAGGTAAAAGCATAAGCTATAGCTCCCTTGCCCTGGGGTCCAGAGTACCT